ACGCTCATCCGCTTTATTTTTTTTCGGTTAACAGGAAGAGAGTGCCACCCATTCCCCTTTGGACTTTCTTCTACGATTCTACGAGTATGATTCTTTCTTCTGTTCTTCTATTTTCAATTAAGATCTCGTATTTCAGGCGCCCGACAAACCCGCAATTGTTGTTGTTAAATTATTAATTGACATTTGGCTGGCGCCGAGGAAGAGCCATTCAAGTGCTCTCTCTCTGCCCGTTTGTTTACAAATTGGTTACACAGTTTTTCAATTTACTTAAATTTTGTATTGCTGTTCTCTGTTTGCTTTGTAGGTGAATTCAGTGCAAATGTAATGTCAGACGTCGAAGCTATAGCGGCTGCTGCCCTCAGCGGCATGGAAATGGGATCTGGCCCACGATCGGAGGCATATGGAGCAGTCGACGACGACCAATTCGAAGTCAAAGAAAATGGTAAGTTTTGAAAGAATCATCTATTAGGCTTGCATGAAATAAATGTCAAAACAAACAGCGAGTTCTGAGTGGCCGTACTAGCCATTTTGTAAACACAATCCAAATTCAAACGCTTCTTGGTAAATTATTCATTCTGGTCTTGGTATTCAATGACAAATTGTTGTTTTGATTCCCTTCATTGACTCACAAATTCCTCAGATTAGTGATTCTAAAAATATTTCAAGATCGAAAGACTGTTAGAGAGATTAGCAGTAAACTGATGTTTTGAATCGGACGAGCCACGTTCAACATCCTCGATAGTATAGTGGTTAGTATCCCCGCCTGTCACGCGGGAGACCGGGGTTCAATTCCCCGTCGGGGAGATGTTGAAATTTTTTTTTTTTTTTTTTTTTTTTTTCATTTATTTAAATTTGTTTTTTTTTTTTCTTTTTTTTTTAATTTACATCTATGGTTTTAATCATAATATTAAGAAATAATATTAAGGTTTTAGATTCCATTCATAGTATTAGTTTTAAATAGATTGATAAAATAACCGATAGGCATTCTTGGTTTGCCTTATTTTTTTTTCTTCTTCTCTTTCTTAAGTCATTATTTCTAAAGAAAAAGTCACAAAAGCCAAAAGTAAATATGAACATTATGTATTAATATACTATATAATTATTTAATAATACCTTACCCTAACCTACAAACTTCTCTAACAAAAAAAAAATGTTAAAAAAGAAATTGTGTATTTGTACATGTGTATTATATTTAAAAAAAAACGGTTACATCTTCTACAAGAAATAAATGAAAAATATTATAATAAGTTAAATAAAAAAAAAAGTATTTAAACATCTCCCCGACGGGGAATTGAACCCCGGTCTCCCGCGTGACAGGCGGGGATACTAACCACTATACTATCGAGGATGTTGAAAGTGGCTCGTCAAACACAAAACATGTTCCGCAGCCGAGAACCTTTAGGTTCTTTTTCGGAAAAGACAACCACCCTTCTGCATAGTTTTCGCCAAGCATGAAGTTTTGTTTCAAAATCCATTTATAGATGCCAAGATAGCTGGAGTCACCCTCTGAAGGTGTTAATGAGGGGAATGTTTAATGCGTTTACAAATTATGTTTGACGCGGTTGAACTCACTTCAGAGCAGAGCCAGAGGCAGAGGAGTTGGCGAGTGAGTATCTGCGTGCCCAGTGGATGACTCCTCTGCGGATGTGTGGGTAGATTTATGCTCAGCTCTGCGTGTAATTATAATTTATCGTTGTTGAAATTCCATAAAACTTTAACACCTCACCTTGGGCCTTGCTGTGTGTGAAGTGCAGCAGAGGAACCGAGACGAACCTGAGATAGAATCAAAAATGAGATGGACTAGGGATGGGCAAGGGAAAGGCTGGAGTGCATGATGGTTAATTGCACTTCACTCCTTTTGATGAAGAGGCAACGGGACGAGGCAGGTCTCGAGAGCATTAATGCCTCTTGGGCTGACAAGGTGCTGCCTGGTTGATCAGCTTTTCGGGTTCTGACTTTGTGTATCTATCCGATTTTTAATTCATTGCAAAAGTGTGCAAGAATGGAACGAATTCCGAGCATTTTTCCACATGTTGCTGACAACATAAAATGACTTTGGTTTATTTTTACACACACCCAGCCAGCCATCACACACACGCACACTCGTTCACAATAAAGTGTCGCCCACGTTGACACAAATTTCTGGTACAATACGAAAATTTCCATGCTTCGGATCGGATACAGACTACAGGCACAGAATCGGGCCGAGAACGATGGTGGCTGCGAGGTGCCTGGTCAGTGCTACCAGCTACAAAAAACAAGAGCTGAAGAGAACAATCGGGGAACATTGCATGACTTTGATTTAGGGCCCAGCCACACTCCAAGTGACATCTCGGACCTTTCCCGAGACCTTCGCCTTTTGTCTGATTTCGGATGATTTCTGGTGATTCCGTTGATTGGAAGGGAGCCTGTTGCGCACATCTGTTGTCCATGTTGCTTTTTGATTTTTTCTGATGCAGTGACCTGCAGAGGCGAGGGCTTCCTCTCCCTGAATCTCCTTTATGTATATTCTTGTGTATCTAATGCCCGGTCTAACAATAATCCCAAAGATACAGATACAGATTCGTTACAGATACAGATACATTCGGCCCGCCAGTCTGTCTGGCCCTGTTCCCAGTCAGTGTCGGCCGCCTTTTGTGTTTATTGTACGGATCAAGAAGTATTCCCCCGGCCCCCTCATCGTTTTCACACGAAATACTCGAAAATCCAACATGGATTTTCTATTGTATACAACACAAAAAATGTATATTGCCGCTCGTTTATGGCTCGAATCAACCGCCAGCACTCCTCATCTTCTCCGCATCATCTCCGCATCATCTCCGCATCACTCCTTCTAAGACAGCTCTTCTAACTAAAAAGCAAACGCAAACAAATTAGAAAGCACAGTGCAGTGCTAATGAACGAAGCAAACCCGAGTCTCGGGTGGGGGCTTTTTAGCACAGGTGCTAATTGGGCAATGCAGCAAATCCTCGCGTCCATCCAATCATTCCTCTATGGCGAGAATTAGCACGGATCGCACAAAAATTTCGCGCTAGAGATACTTTCAGAATTCTGGCTCTAATGGAATGCAGTCCACCCAAGTCATGGGCTCTGCACATTCCCCTTTGATTCTAAATCCAACTGAAACTATTCACCTTTCGTGTCTTGTTTTAAATAAATTATCATTTTTCTTGTATTTGAGATTGAGGAAAATGTACGACGGGGCTTTAAGAATTTTATAATCATGCAATATAATTATTTCATGTGGTTTTTTTTATTGTCCATTGCTCGGAAACAATACCTTATTAAAATCTTGAAAGATAGTTGCTTGGAAAGTCCCTAACGAGAGTTATAGCTCATGTTGTTCGATTTGCTTTTAATTGTTTCTTGGAATTATATTGCCTCGCATTTAAATATTTATTTAATGGTTTTACATTAAACTCTAAGATAAGATTTTTTTTGAGTACAACTCCTTCTATAAAGTCTTAAATAAATTCTCCTCTAGGCTTTTATTCGCATTCAAAATTAAATTAAAATTGTATGCTACTATCCATTAAACTCAATTGATAGTCTCCCCATAAGGAACTTGATTTTCTGGCTCCTCGATAGCCCCCGGCCGACTGCAAGTCCCTTTCCACGTTCCAAGTACCTTCCCCTGTCTTACCCCTTATCTGGCTGCATTGCTCCGATTCTGGTGCAACTCCCAGCGTCTGGCTGTGCGCTGCATGACTCCTACACTTGAGAAATCACACCTCGCAGGCAGCAGCAGGCATTAAGGGAGCTGGAGCCGTAGCTGAAGCTGGGGGCATCTTATCCAGAGATTCGACTAGACAAAACCAGAGCAGCAGACCCCAAACCAGATCAAAATGAATTATGGCCGCGGGCGAGATAATAAACGAAAGATCAGCACTGGGATTGAAGTGAAAATGCAGAGAGAAAAATGATTCTTGAAGTTGAGGTTCGTCGGAATAAATTATGCGGGCTTATCGCAGGGTCATAACCGAAAATGTGCAACCTATGAGCGGATCAGAGTTCAAATGTGTTTTTAATGTGGCCGCTGCAGTGGCTGATGATCCGCGAGATACTGCCTCAGTACCTGACAAAAGAGACGTGCTAAGCGATATGACAGGTAGGGTGGCGGATCAGGGTGGCATATCCGACAAAACCAAAGCCTAGACCATAATTAGCGGCGACTACCGTGCGGCTAATGAGGCTGGCAGGCAAAGCGAAACCACAGGCTTGCCGTGGAAGCAGTGACTCCAAATGATAACTTTGAGTGCGCGATGGGCATCCCATGGATGCGAGTTGCACGAGTGTATCTCATGGATACGCTCCGCAGAACAGGAGGCGGCCAACTATTAGTTGGCAATGGTGTTGCTGCTAATCACACGTTGCCTGCTGCTGGCATCGCTAACAAATTCGACCAAAACTGTTATTATTGTTGCATGCCCCATATGCAAAAGGGCCCTGCAATTATGCATCCTATACGCCACTCCATCTCTGTCTTGCCGTATCTAGATATGTCAGTTATAAGAAGAAAGGAAAGCTGACTGCGGAAGAAGTCGATTCCCATATGCCCTTGCGGATACAATATTTAAAGGATATATTAAAGCTATAGCTATAGAGGATACTGTATCTTTATCCAAAATACATAATATTTATAGGAAGAGCCATGTTATAATACCTTCTGCTAGGGTATAACAAGCAGCCACGAAATACGAGCACGGAAAGCAACAACAACGCTGCTAACCAAAGATCAAGATACACACGCATACCCAGATACAGATACAAATACTTAAAAAAAACTTGAAATTCAAGTGATCAACATTTTCGTCTCTTATTTGGAATTCTTTTATCCAAAGAGCGCATTCTGTAGAAGCAGTCTTCTAACATCAAAATAAACTGTAAAGGAGACCTAACAGCTGTTGCTCTCTTTTTCTGTTCGCTGTTAAGTATAAAATTGGTAAAACTCTCTGAGAGACTGTTATTGAACGTAAAAATCAGAATCACAATTCTGTAACAGATCACTGTTATGAAAATCGCCCGCGAGTCGTGACGTGCGCACGGACTCTGTTTTTTTCGCCTCGAAATCGCTACGTTCTCGCGTCTGGCTGGCCAACAAGAGTGTATTTTCAAAGTGTGCTTCAAAGTAAACAAAATACGCTGGCTAAAAACGTGTTTAAGAGGCAGAAAATCTAACACAATCTGAAAATCTGAAACAAGCTGCCGCCACAAAAGTTTCTCAAACAAATGAATAAAGTGGATGTTGCATTTATGTGGTTATTTTGTGTCAGTGCCGTCGCCCTATCAGTAATCAGTGCCTAAGAAAATAGCCGAGAAAACACACAGGATATACGAATGCAATGACCGAGGATTGAGTTTCACCTGATTTGTATTGCCACCTTTCGTATATAATTATAATCAACGTGATCACGCGCTCACACCAGAAAACAAAAAAAAAATATAATAAAAAACAATAAAAGAAGCTAAGCGAGAGGAGACCACAGAGCAGAGATCTGTAGAGAAGCGGAAGAAGAAGACCAGCGCCAGGATCAAGTTTTTGGCGAAACCCATAATTTCGCTGCTCCAGCGCGTCGGCTCCACCATCGTCATCGTCTTGCTCGTAGTCTTCTTCTTCGCGGGCTCCACCGTGTCGCCGGCTTGACCGACGCCGCTGCCATAAACAAACCCATACTACCCATACTCCGAAGCCCCGAAACCCAAACGAATCCAGTTCTCCTGCAGCTTTTGTTTTGCTTTTGTTGCCTTGCTGCCTCGCGTTTATTGTTTTGTTGCAAGAACGGCGAACGGCGAGAGGTGCGGAGACTGGCTGGTAGACTGTAGACTTGAGAATCGAAGGGACTGGGAGAGAAGTGGCCCCAACACCCGGGATCCCGTCCAACAAAAACAACCCAGAGGTAGAAGAGGAGAGAAAACGAAGAACGATCGGTTGGGGCAACAACAACTAAGTTGCATTGCAGCCGCCGTATAAAAATCATCAAGAACTGTTGTTGCTGCGCCTTTGGCTAGCGTTCTTGTTGCTGTTGTAGCCATCAGACATGGCGCCGAAATCCAGAAAGAAGAAGGCTCATGGTAAATATTAATATAACATTTCTTTTTCTTTATTTTTTCCCCTTTTTTTGTTTTTTGTTTTGTGGAGCTCCCTTGTGGTGCACCTTGAATGGGAAAAGTACTATTGTTCTACGAATGGGTCAAGTCCTGGTCTTGGTATAATTGCAGAAAACTAGATGACGTTGTCAGAGTACCTGTACTTATCATATCATGCCTATAAAAAATACACCAAAACACAATAACTTATCATTTCCATAGATAGAAATTATCTAGTTTGTATGTCAGAGATAATGCTCTGTTTTTTTATAGAAAAAATAATAATAATTTGATAAGGAAACAAGGTTTGAAAGTATCAAGTCACTGTCATTTCCTTTTCAAGTGTCATGAATGGAGGTAGTATTATGGTGTCCAGGACCCATAATAGTTTAAACCACATTCAGCCTAGGCCATAAAATTCTGGGAAATTAAAAGCATTTGTATTTCCCAATTCACTTGGCTTTCAATTAACTTTTCCCCATAAACAGGGTATCTAAAATTCGATTCATTTCCTTTATGGCCCGATAAGGCCACTTGTAGTTTAGTTGCGATTCTCTGGGAGATTTTCCTCAAAGCTTTCACTGCCGGCTCTGTGGCTCTGCGGCTCGGCGGAGTCTTGTGGCCAGGCAGTGGTAGTGCCATTATCATCATGGCCTGATCATGGTCTCATAAGTATGCAGCGCTCATATTACAAATCTCTGGGCATATCCTGTTGGATTCTTCCCCGACCGCCGACCACCGATTTCAATTGAAATTCGTTTGCTTGCGTTTTCTGTTTCTAATTGCGTTTTGTTGTTCGAATCAGCTCGACTCTATGCCGATCCTCCTGCTCCTGACCACATCCCAAGGAGATCCCATCGGCTTAAAATATGCGACGTCTCTGCCGCTGTCGCTGTCTGATCCTTCTCGGTCTCGCTCCCACTTTCTGGAGTTTCTCTCGAAGTTGTGCATGTTTTTCTTAATTTTTTATGACCCTGAGCAGGTAGAACCGAGCCAGAAATCGAACAACGAAACAACCACAATCGAGCAGCGGGCACCCCTTGCAGGAAAGAGTGGATACCCAAAAAAAAAACAACAACAAAAATATGTATAAATATAAAAAACAGAAAAACATTGGCAGAGAAAAAAGATCAGCTGTCAATTTTATGGGCATGGGTGCCCCTTTCTCCTTTCTGGGGTGTTGCAGCCACATATTTTATGCCCTTCCCGGGTGTGTGTGTGTTGTCATTTTGTTTCATTTGCTTAGATTACTTTGATATGCATCTGAGCATTTGATTTGGGATTAGACAGCCCAATGAATTTTACGACCGCGCGTGTGGATATGGTATACTAATCCCTCTCCATCGTTGAAGAGCTCTGCATACTTTGGTTGATCTTTTAATAGCTCCTGATACTGCAGAGCACTGGCTTTGGCTTCAGACCAATTAATATAATGGCGAATATCGTTAAAATTCAAGAAAACCAACCTCATCAAGAGCAATTGAAAGCAATCAAGTCAAGAAGTTTTAAGTGCGTTTACATTTTTATTTCCAATAATTGCACAAGTAATCTGAATTTGCAGAAGGCGATTGGCCAGTATATATATGTTATATTTATTTAATAAAAAATTTAATTAATGTTTCGTTAAATATTTACGAGCGACTGTGTTTTGTTTGCGTCTAGTCTGGGTTTTCGCCCGGGCATCCGTCCAGGTGCAGATCTTTGTGCTTATGTTTCTGATTTTATTTGTGCAGTCGCTGTCCAAGTCTCTTAATAATAAATTCGCCACGGGTGGCGGTTCTGGTCCCCTTCCTCCTGGCTGGTCCTCTTAGTCAGCCGGTCGGTCGGTTGCGCCCATGACAAATCGCAACAAATGCCAAACAGACAAAAAGATAAAGAGCCTCGCCAGCGCAACAAATACGAAAGACACCTTTTGATGTGGGCATTGTTGTCGAAAAGACAAAGATACTTGCACCACACTACCTTGCTGCGCCACACCCACACTTGAGCACTGGCCAGTGAAGTTTTCCCCCGAAAATGTAGCTCTTTAGCGGCGATTCTAAAGAGGTTCGATAGCACAAGACCCTGTTCCAAGCCCTCCATCTGCACTGAAAGAAAAGTTGACTTGGGGGATCGCTTACTATATTTTTCCGCCAAGTGCTCTGTGTGGAATCACCTAGCCAACAAATTGAGTTTCCAACTGATAGGGCCCGTCGTGAGCTGATAAGAGCCCAGATATGCGCGAGTATGGAGGGCACTAAATACTAATTCCCAGGTATTTGACCGACCGACAGTTCGACAGGCTGGGAGGTTTCGGCGGTTTCCTCGCCCCCAGTCTCACGACGCCTAATCTTATCAATTTTGTCGTCTGCCGCCCGTTGGCGTAAACAAACAAAAATAGTTATTATAACAATAATAGGCGCTGGGCAAAGCAACACAAAAATCAAAAATAAATAGTACACGAACCACTCATGAGAGATGCCTGCCCACGTTTGGTTTTACGAGCAACGTGTGCTTGCATTTTCAATGTGTTTTGATAGTCTATTTTAATTTATAATATTTTTTGCTGGTTTTCATAGAAAGAAGAAAACATAACCGAACCAAACACCAAACATTGGCCGTACTAGTGTAGAACATACACGACTCTCATATGCATTCTGCTGACCATCGGCCGTTGGCGCATTTCGCACACGCTTACGACTTTTCTCGGTGAAATTGCACTTATTTTTAATTTTAGCTAAATGCCAACCTGTCGATTTTCCGCCAGCCCCCAGAGCGCAGAGCACGCAAAAGGGGTCATTGATTTGTCGGTGAGCCGACCACCGATCTGACCGATCAGCATAAACCCTGACTAGACTAGACGCTCCACAAGTCGGCTTGAGGCGACGCGTCTCCAGACGGAAATACTGAATCGCACGATCTTCAGCTACGTGGATATATTGCCTATATATCTGACATTGGCTTGAAGTATGCCTCATTCTCTTTACGTTAATTACCTCTATATTGAAATGGTACTCATTAGCGGGTCTTATCAGATGAGAGATTAACGAACCATTCTCAGAACTGCAATGGCAGGGAATTACGGCCAAAACCAGATTCGAGTTGACTTTCTAACAACGCCTGAGATACTCGTGTGTAATAAATACTTTCAGATTCATTCTGAGAACATTATATAACAGAAAATAAGATGATTTCATCTAGAATCTGGAGAAGAAACCCTAGCCGCGCAGATAAAATAAATTGCTGTGGAATACTTTGTAATGAGGGATTACATTTCATAAAAAACATTGGGCTTATTATTAATTCTCCAATAAAATAAGTTTATAACTGTAGAAACAATGTAGTCTATAGAGAACTCAATGTTGAGCTGTCACTTCACGATTAACACCAGATTATTCCATTAATTCTTAATCAAATATCAACTCATCGCTTGCCTTGCATCGGTAGATGTTTGTTTAGTTTCGAGTGCCTTCCCAGTAGTGCGATGCGGCTGCTGCAGTTGGAGTGCAGAGTCCGCATATCCTGTTTGCCGTGTGGATCTCTCATCTCTTCTCATCTCAGCTCCCAGATCTAAGCTCTCAGACCCATTCAGATCCGATGCGATCTGTCGCCAGCGTGTGGAGCACACATGTGCGACTGAAGCGCGTGAAAATGACGACCGAGGCGCAGCGAATCGGTCCGTTCCGTCCGCTTATCCGTCGGATTGCTGCATCGGAATGGATGCGGATATGCTGAATGCCGAGTAGGCGGCAGCTGCTGCTGTTTGTCAAAACATTGGCATGGAATTTGCTGCGAGGCGCGGCAAGTGAAATGAAATGTATCTGCCAGATACATATGCAGTATCTTATGTAAATGCAGCTTCCTGCCTTGTGCCGGCCTCCTGCCGCTCAGAAACTCCATTAGCATTGGCAGCATCCACGAATTCCGCTTAATTTCGTTGACGATTAATCAAAATCAAATAAATGCAAGTAACTCCTTCCATTCAGCCCCCATACTGCCTCCATCATCCCGACCTCCAGCTCCTTTGCTAACTGCTGCTGGCTGTTGGCTGTTGGATGGGTTGTTGATGGATTTCGTGATAAATGAAGTGAAATTTGAGTGGATTTTATCTCTGGGCTCTGGTCTCTGGACTTCGTATTCATTATTTTCTCTGCTGGCCCCTTAACAAATGCGTTAAATACTTGAAACGATTATCTCCGAGGCCTGCGAGAAGACTTTAAATGATTTGCATGAGGCGAGGTCTGAGGTTCTTGGTTCTGAGTCTATATTTTAACTCAAAATCATAGGCATGTTTTTAAGAACTATGGATTAGGTTATCTGTCAATTGATATTTAATAATCCTACTTCCTGTAGATGTGGCTCATGGTCATCATAGCTATATAGTCTCCTATATCACTATAGCTCTAAGAGAAGGTCATTGTATTGAATATGTTAAGTGTTGCTAATTGTCAGAACCCAGTTCTAATGCCTCTGATGGTCGAAATTTCCCTACCTTTATAAAACCTGCTCCCTTATTCCCCTTTCCCGTAGCTGGTAAGTAAATGTGTCGCACAGACAGCACGGCGGCATGTTTATTAGACCGAAAGCACAAAAGCCAACAACTACATGCACAATAATGGATACCAAACGTTGTTAGCCAGACCCAGCAAATCGCCAATCGAGAGTCAATGACAACGCACATTGGCACGTATTTCGCATTTGGCCGTATGTGCATATCATATAAAATAATATGCGAGTTATATACTCGGGTTTTCTATCCGACATTTGCATATTTTCGGTGTCTGCCAGTCTGCTGGCCGGGGTTTCTAGTAGAAATATATATGCTTTCCTGTCTATTATAAGCCTGCACACGTCATGCTGTCGCCGGGGCAGCCTTTTAAGGCATCGGCTGGCGATCGCCAGCATTTGATTCATCATCAGGTGACCAAAAAAAGAGAAGCCCAGCAATACTATAATTGCCAGCCAGTCTAGAAGCTAGGAGGGCCCCAGCAGCATGTTGCTACTGC